TTCACAACAATGGACTCTAGACTCTTTCTAAAAATATGCAAATTGAAAAGCATGGACTTTCCAAACACCTTCATGCAAAGAGAACAATAAGCTCAGTGAAACAGTTCACTCTGAAAACTGAGCATTTTTATCTTGAAAGTGATCAAAACAGACTCTTTTCCGACAAATATGCAAACACCAATGCTTTCCTGCAAACACCAATCAAAAACTATGCTTTCCTACAGTAAGACAAGCTTGTTTTACCCAATCGCTCATCCCATAAGGTGATCGATTTTCAGAGATTCGATGACTCAACTTTATTATATAAAGCAGTCATTGGACAAGTTCGACATCAACAACTTCACCTTTCAACTCAACAATTCAAGTGGCTTCAATTTTAAACCTAACTAGGAACCAATTTCTTTAATGCAAAAGGAAGAAAGAGGTAAAGTTTCGAGATTTTCCATCTGAGAACTTCATCAACGGCACTGAATTCCAAAAGTTTACAAGTAGAAAGTGTATCTGAAAAGCTCTAGCGAGAAGAACAGAAACTGTCCAGTACTCAGAATTTCCGATGTCTTTCCCCGTCCGTTTCGCACTCTTCCTCGCCCTCCTGTCCACTCCATTGTGGGCTGGAGTGATCGGTGTCTCTGGTGGAGCTTCAGCTGGAGTGTCTGTTGAAGTCTCGATGCTCATCCTTCCCACCCTTCCACCAATCTCCACTCCATCTCTCTCCATTCCACTCCCCAATTCTTTTGAACCTTCTCAATCCGGATCCACTCCATTCTCTCTTCGGATCACTCCCAGCTCTCCTCCAGTATTCAAATATCCAATCAATCAATTTCTAATCTCAATTTCAGGGTTCCATCAATCCTTAACACTCTTCCAATCCCGATTCCTGATCTCTTGTAAGTGGTGAGAAGAGCTAAAGAACTTGATCTTATGAATCTTTCTTCTGTAAACTCATTGTCAACTTAAAACAAGCAAAACACATAGCTGTTGGAGTCTCGATGCCCATCCTTCCCACCCTTCCACCAATCTCTACATTACTTAATCATTCTGGAACTGGGAACATCGTGAAAAAATGGTAAAATAATTTTTAAAGTCATAAGATTTCGCCCCTTTGTCTCCTTGTTTTTCTTTCCTTTTCCCGTCGGTCCTGTGGTGTAGTGGTTATCACGTGCCCTTCACACGGGCAAGGTCGCCGGTTCGATCCCGGCCAGGACCTACTTTCTTTTTGTTTCGATAATTTTAACTTCTGGGTGATAAAGTTGTGAGTTGCTGTTTGGGACAAAAGGGAGAGCAGCATTGAGTCAAAACAAAAATTTACACCTAGAGTTTTCAGAGCAGCCCTAATTCCGATCACTATATGTTACTGTAACTAGAAACTAAGGCCTCTGTTTCTCTATGTTTGAAAACTCTCGGGAGCAATTAGTTGATTCTTAATAATTTGAAAATTAACATTTGGTTCATTTGTAGCTCTCAAGAAGGCCGTAAGGCCGTTCGGTTGCGGTTTTCAAGAGTTTTAGTGTTTTTGCTTTGGTAACACGAATTGTTTACTTTTTCTTTTGTTTAACAAGTATAACACAAATTGTTTTGATGATCAATCAATGCGTTATTTGTTGCTTTATTTGTGAAATATGCAAATTTTCTTTCTAATGCAAGATTTTAGTGAATGTACTGTCTTTCCATTTATTCATTATATATTCTCCCTAAAAAGAGATTTACAGCAAAGAGATACAGTAAATAAACTCTCAATTTTCTAAAAGTAGAATCGTAAGAGAATGAGAAAAGACTGAAATGAGATGCAACACAGATATCACAAAATTGTTCAACCCAAAATCAATAAAATATCTTAAATAGGCTACACTTATCATTATAAATTTTAATTTGAAAGCAAAAAGCGTATGGAGGTTGATGAAAGATGAGGAAATTTTCGTGATATATTGTCCTATTCGTTCCTAGGTATAAACGGATGTGGACTAGAATTTGGGTTAAGTTAAAGAGAGTGGATCCCTTTTGATATCCCGCCATCTCTAACACCCCGACAACCCAAATCAACTCCTCCAACGTATTAGAGGGGAATCCCTGTGAAATGACCGACCTGTACTGCAGTTGCATAGACCCGGAAGATGTGTATCTTTATTTACAGTAGTATAATAAGACGAATTGATTACAAATAAGTGTCAGGGGAAGGGGGGACTCCAAATGAGAGTTTCACTTGTCCCACTTGAGTCCACTTGTCCTCCTAGGCAATCCCAAGGATCGCCCCTTCTCGGCAAGTAAAAAGGATAAGCACAGGGGAGGACACATTTGCATAAGAATAGACAAATCATTCAATAATAACAATAGTAACTAAAATATCAGTTTGGCTCGGAGCTGACAATCCCTAAAGAAAGAGATATTTTACAGCAAATAGATACAGCAAATAAACTATCAATTTTCTAAAAGTAGAATCATAAGAGAATGAGAAAAGGCTGAAATGTGATACAGACAGATATCACAAAAATCAACTCATAATTTTCAACCCAAAATCAATAAAATATCTTAAATAGGCTACACTTATCGTTGTAAATTTTAATTTGAAAGCAAAAAGCGTATGGAGGTTGATGAAAGATGAGGAAATTTTCGTTCGAAGCTCCTTTCGTCTCAACAAGCGGAATGTGAGCTTGAAGGAAGATGGCGGTGAGTTGTTCGTATCTCAGATCCCCTCTCCTCACTTGATCCCCATAAAAAGCTGTGTAAAGCTTTTCATTGAAACGATTCCTCGACACAAAGTTCTTCACAAAATCCATGAAACTCTCCCATTTCTTGTGAAATATTGTTAGTAAAACATTTTCTTTCAAATTCAACAAAAGATTCTCTTTGATAAGTTGAAATGGAAAAAAGACAAAGTAGATTTCATCGATTCCCCAGTGATTTTCCATAAATCTCATCAATTCCCCATCAACGTTACCAAAAAAACGAATTGGAAAAGTGATTTTCACGCTTGCACTTACTCGAATTTCATTATACATTGTGAGAAGAGAGCGAGTGATTTTCGAGTCTCCATTGAATGCGAAATATAAACCTCCTAAAGCTCTCCTCATATTAAGCGGCAAGAATTTCTGAACATCAAATTTTTGAGCGTTCAACAAATCCATTTTCTCAACACAACGGATTTCTAAATAAGCGTAATGTGCGAGATTTCGAATGAGTCGCCCGTGAATTGGATTCACTCGCACCGTCACACCTTCACCTCTCCAAAACCGCTTCTCACCCTCGCCCCCCGAGAAGAAAAGTGAAAAGCTATCTTCTCGTACGCCTTCATGAACTATGTAGATGCTTATTGAATTGGCCAAAATTCGACCGTCGTTCTCTTCGATTTTTCCATTGCACAGCGCCACTTTTAAACCTTCAAAATTTGATGGGATTGGCCCGCAAAATAAGATGAATGAGCGAAGATCGTGATTCACTTTTAGCAATTGAAGTCCATCAAATAAATTCAATTTCTTTTGAATCCGCGTTTTGAGAAGAGACGGCAAAGAAATGAAACTTTGAAACTTTTTCTCCATTATCTGATACGCAAAAAGATCGAGGATTTATTTGGATGAGAGAGAAATGTCAATTGAAAGGAATTGAAAGGTTTATGAACGTTTTGGAGTGAATGGGCGGAACTTGTTCAGATGGAAGATAAGAGAAAAGGGAAAGAGGGGAATTGTAGAGAGGATTGGGGTACCCCCAGGGTCAGCCTTCAGCATCATTCGTAACTCCGCCTCTCCACTCCATCTCTCATATAAGAGCCCCTCCAAACCCCAACCTTCACCTTGTGTTCGACAACCCAAGCCAACTCTCAACTTCAACATGCCACCAAAGCCATCCGCCAAGGGAGCCAAGAAGGCCGCCAAGACCCAGAAGACCCCTCGTTCGGGAGACAAGAAGAGAAGAAAGTCGAGAAAGGAGTCCTACTCGGTCTACATCTACCGTGTCCTCAAGCAAGTCCACCCCGACACTGGTGTCTCCTCCAAAGCCATGTCAATCATGAACACCTTCGTGAATGACGTCGTTGAGCGCATCGCTGCCGAGCCTTCTCGTCTGGCTCACTACAACAAACGGTCAACGATCTCATCTCGCGAAATCCAGATCGTTTGCCTGGAGAGCTTGCCAAGCATGCCATCTCTGAGAGTACCAAGGCTGTCACCAAGTACACCTCATCCAAATAAATCTCCTAGAGATTGAAAGGAAAAACCCCAACCCAACGGCCCTCTTTATCAGATATTTAAATATTTTAAATTTATAAATGTATTCAAGACATCAACATGTAAATTTTGAGCTATTCACAAAAAAACTCTGCAGTCCCTGCTCAAGAAAGAGTCTTCAAATTATTGCAAGCAAGTTTTTAGTGAACTCCTTGTTAACAGTTCAGGGTTTATCCAAGGCAAAAAGCTCAATACTTTCTGAAAATTCAAGTTTGATTAATGATGTTTTGTTTAATGACCTCCCTACTCCTCGACTTGCTTTTGAACTGAATCCGCTTACAGCTCTCGTTCAAAGTTCGAAGGATTTGAACACATTTTGGATTATTTCTGGAATCCTGACTGGGTCCAGAATCTTTTCGAGTCTCTCATCACTTCTCTGCTTTTTTAATTGACTTTATTTTGAAGGGGGAATTGCTTGGAGTAATGCCAATGGCTTTGAATAAATAGATTTGAATAAAATTTGGTTAAGAAAATGGATTAAAGATCGTTCCGGGGAATGCCAATCAATAAATAGAATAAGGAAAAAGAATTTAGAAAGACGCTTTATAATTGGTAAAGGAAAATAGGATTTGAGTTCGAATTTCAAGACTTGTGTCTTTGAAAGTCAAAGTTGAAAATGCCACTGAAAATAGAGGTAAACAATCAATTTCAATCATGTTTATGCATTATATTTATGCACAATTTCAATCATATTTATGCAAGTACCAGAAGTGTGTTCAGAGATCATCGCAAATCGTTGAACAAAGATCGTTCAATGTCAGTAATTTCAAGGCAATAAAGCTACTTTCCGAATTGGAATTGTTGTTGTGTCAATCCATGCATATTCAACTTCAATTGTCCATCCATATCGAACTCATTTCGAATCATCGCACCGCTGGAAACAAACATTTTTATAGGTTTCTAGTTTCAACCGACTTTCTTTCAGGATAGTAATCGATTTTCTTATATTGAAAATCGTCTTGAAAACCGGAAAAGCGCTCACTTTGTCGATTGCTTAAATGGAAGATTTTTAGTCATCATAGATCTAATAAACACTTGCAATATATTGAGTTGGTGAATTGAAAACTGCCGCCTATTGTCATATGTCACGGTTTGAGCACTTTCTTCAAAAGAAACCCATTTTGGTGTCAATGGAAAAGTTGTAGAGAATCAAAAATTAAGCTGATAGCCAAATTTCCAAAAAGATACACTAGTTCCGTTAAAAATTCTGTGTGCTCTTCCAGCAACTCCCAGTACAAGTGTGTGAGACAAGTGTGAGGCTCAAAAATGGAGGACTGGAGATATCCCAGTTTGAGCACTTTCTTCAAAAGAAACCCATTTTGGTGTCAATGGAAAAGTTGTAGAGAATCAAAAATCAAGCTTATATCCAAATTTCCAAAAAGATACACTTAGTGGTTCCGCTTAAAATTTGTGTGCTCTGTGTATTCTTTGTGCGGCAGCGTAATCGCTCGTCGTTTATTTCCAAATTTTCAGAACGATTCAAAAGCTGGCTTTCAAGAAATGTCAAATTGACGAATTTTCACAAAACTTGCATTTTAAGCGAAACTACTAAGTGTATCTTTTTGGAAATTTGGATATAAGCTTCATTTTTGATTCTCTACAACTTTTCTATTGACACCAAAATGGGTTTCTTTTGAAGAAAGTGCTCAAACTGGGACACCTCCAGTCCTCAATTTTTGAGTCTCACACTTGTCTCACACAAAAACCAAAATCCTACTACGAAAGAGGAATCCGCAAATTGCCTGTAAAATGGGCAGAAGTCGTCAATAGTAATGTAATGTTTGTCTATAATCTATCTATCTTTTCTTACATTTCTTACAATAAATAGTCTTGTTTGGGAACTTTTGGCGCATTCCCCATACAGTCCGGACCTCGCCTTTTGATTACTATTTATTCCGGATCATGAGTAATGAGCTTGCGGGAGAACACTTCGATTCGGAAGAAGCAGTCAAAAATTGGCTTTGAAAGTTTTTCGATTCAAGACCAAAATCCTACTACGAAAGAGGAATCCTGCAAAATTGCCTGTAAAATGGGCAGAAGTCGTCAATAATGATGGAAATTATTTGGAATGGATTTATGGTTTTATGTTGAGTAAATTTTAGTTCAAAGTCCCGCAGTTTTCAATTCACCAACCCAATATAAAGCAATGCAATCTTACCTTTAACTTCCATCCACTACAGCAAGATTACATTCATTTTAAAAGACATTTTAGAAAACAAAAACTCAAGAGGCAGAGATAATTGGGATTTTGGTAATATCAATTCACTAGTTATCAGAAGTTTTTTCTTTCTCTTTGCTTAAAACTCACAATGGACCGGCTTGCATCTTTCGCATCATGTCCTTGTTGAGGCCAAATGCCATCTCATAGTTTCGTCCCCATCTAGAAACTTTGTTTCTGTTTTCAAATATAAACATTTAGTTACTTTAGTTAAACAGTCTATAAATAAAGTTTCCCTATTGAACTTTGAAAATTTGTAAATCTTTGCTTAAACTCACTCATTATTTTGTCCCCATCCAATTTGGCGTTTCGAGCGAAGCTCACTGAAAATAGTAATGCGATTTGCTTGAAATTTTAGAAGTTATGTTCAAAGTCTGCTAGATGGGAGTTATGATCAAATTCTGCTAGAGGAATTCTGCTAGATCTGGCTACATTAGTGGATTTGGGTTGATTTTCATTTAAAACTTGTTAAAACTGGGCTATAACATTGTCGACTTACCTTTCTTCTTGATTATCCAAGAATACCGGCAGGGCAATAGTCGAAGAAATCAAGAAAATCAAGGCGACAAGTGAAATTTTTCGGTTGTACATTTTGAAAAGAAAATGAAAAGAACAGTCGTACAAGTATATAAAACTCAAAATAAAGTTTACGAGTGAACATTTCGGTGAGCTTTATATTTTTGAAATTTTGAAAGAGTTGATGTGGGTGCAATTTGACAAACTTCCATTTAAAATGGCAAATCCAAAAAATAAAACACTCTAATGCTCATTTGCTGAATAAGAATTAGGCAAAGATTTGTTGTTTTTGCGAAATGATGGGATTTTGAGAGATATTTTAGATCATTTCTTACTTCCTCTATGAGTCATTGTGTTCGGGAAAACGGGAAAAGGGAAAAATGGCCGAGAAGTGAGAAAAAATGAAGAGATCACGTAATTTCTCCCTGTCACAGCTCAAAGTGTGAAAATTGATACAGTTCCAGAAATCAAGAGTTCTTTGCTGTAAAAGTAGATTAACTATAAAAATTCCATTCCAGTGCTCAAGTTTATTTTGACTATAAATCGAGTCTGATCTCTAAAAGATATTGAATTTGAATTGAATAGATAATCTGCCGCAGAGGTGGCTCATTTGATATTGATTTATTTTCAAAAACCCGCAATAAAAATTTACAAACATAAAAGCTAAAGTAAATTCTATCCTAACTAAACAAAAAAATTTCGAATCGCGGCCTCCGCATCCTCAACTGTAACACATTTCCTCGAACGATCGATAAGCGAATTTCGGAGTTTCATGAAAGCCTTCGGATTCTTTTCTCTAGCCTAAAGAGCACAAAATTTATTACGTAACTAACCAAAAAACCTTCTCAACCATTGAAGAATTGACAGCATTGATCTCATCAAGTAACTTTCGAATTTCTTCTTCTGAGCTGATTCGCCAGAGATTGTTTTTGCGCAGATACTAACCAAAATACGTGATGACAAGAAAATATCGCTCACCTCTGTCACATCATGAAGTTCGCTTTTCAAACATTGTCTCAAAAGTGATAATGAGACCAATCGAGTGATGCTTGATGATTGAAAATATTGAAGAGTCCGACAAAATTGCTCCGAAAACCCGTTTCTAAAAGTTATCACTAGATTACCAAAGAAGCAAAAACAAAATTCAAATCCTCACTTGGCAGGTGGGTAGGAAAATCCCTCTCGTTGACAAATATTTCTGACATCACGAAGATATTCAAGGAAAAGCGGTAACTTTATCTAAATAAAGACTGTGCGAATTTTTAGATTAATAAACCAACTAAATCGTTATTTGTCGAATCGATTCTCTGTAGGTGACGTGAACATTCATCGAAAAACGTCGACATCGCTGGGTCTTCCTGAAAGAAAAAAAATGGAGAGTCCAGTCTTTTTGATTTTTCGCAAAACTTTATTGAAGAATTTGTGTCATACTTTGGCTACCAGTGCGCCCTAACCAACTTAATACAAACAAACCGAGAATTCCACAGCCAGCATCGGATCGAGACCAAATCTATCAATTCGCTGTTGATAAACCGGCAATCCTGCATTGGAAATTTTCTCCGATGCTGTCTCTAACCAATCAGCGTTCAACTAAATGTGAAATAGGATAACTTTATCGTAAGAAAACCCACTTTTAGCTTGGAAAGATTTGGTTCAGGCATAATTCGATAATCCGTTTCTTCTTCTTTGTCTCGCATCGCCACCGTGCGTCTGAAACCAGTCAATAACACAAATGATACCATTTAAATACATTTTATCAGTCAATGTAGTTAGCTATAACTGAACAAACCCCTGCGCATCGATTCCTCGTGTCTCATTCGACACAGTACCACCTGATGTAAGTATCTCAAATTGTCGATTGATCTCATAGTTGATCGCCGTGTGTAAGAAGCGGAAACTGTTGAGATTCTTGATTTCCGTTCTAATTCCTGAGAATTGAGTGAAAATATTTCTAAAAGTTTTTTTACCTGGAACTCCATCTTTTGAAAGCGAAACGTTTGCATCGACTCGAATGTGGCCTTCTAAAACGAGACACAATTGTTCGTAGCCAAAGCGCCATTTAAAATGATTAGCAAAACCAACTATGTAAGCGCCCTCGACAAATGTGATGATGCATTAAGAGAAGGCGTAATTGTTGCACAAAACAGGTCGCTTCGAGGGCCGATCGAAAGATTGGTGCGGTGACAACTTCCACCAATGGAGCTCCTAAAAAGAATTAATAGAAAAACTTGAAATCTTGATCCAAACCTGCTCGATTCAAGTCGACAAGTGAAATTGCACCTTGATGTACCGTTTTCCCAGAATCCTGCTCTAATTGTAGTCGTTCTATAGCAACCTTAAGTAACAACAATTTTTCTAGGTGTTTAACACTCACCTCTCTTTTATATGTCTCAATTCCATTTCCGTATACGTAGACATCGAGATGGCCGTTTCGAGCTATCGGGTGATCGGCTTGTGTTATTTGATATCTAAAATCAAAGTCATACAATTTAAATATGAGAACCACCCAGCAGGCATGTCCGCATAAAAATAGTGTTTCCGATCGAAGCGGCTCCATGACGGGATTTCACATTGGAGAGCTTTTGCCATTCGTAAAGCCAACTAAAAACTGTCTCAAACTTACATTATTGGTGGATAAAATTTAATTGATCCAACCATTAGGCACTCCTTGTTGAGTACAGGAAGGGACCCGGGTGTGGCCATGTCGAAGAGATGAACGGTCGAATTGGGAGAGGCATCGTCCAATAAACGGGCTGGCGAGAAGAGTTTCTTCGACGAAGCCAATTGAACATGAACCTAAAGAGTAATCTTAAACATATCTCGTTAATGCACCCGATCAAATATTAATAGTAAACTGATTTATGTATCTGTGCTTCATTTAACAAGGAGGATTTACTGTATGTATTTTACCATTTAAAATGTCTTACTTCTAATCCGATAATCGGTGCAAACGCTAACTTCGATGTGGTCGCAGTGGCGGTGTGAGCCCACCGGATCACCCGCATCCTGAACATTAATTACGTATTGTTATACACGCTTATTGTTAATAATGTATGTGTCAATTATTTGTACTTATTAGATAATGATTGCGTAAACCGTATGTTTTCAAGACTTTTATGTAAAGATTTATTAACAATGACAACTAACCAATTAAAAAAAACAAAGCCTAAACGTCTGCAAACAAATAACTAGACAATCCCCGTCAAAATGACATTAATTTATCACAAAATTTGAAAACTAAAAAACAAACAAAACAAGATACAAATAACAAGTCAAAAAGTAACCAAATCTAGAACAACAAAAATTAAGGAGCTGAAAGAATATTGTTCATCTTTTCTAAATCGTACTCATTGTTTTTGACGAGTCGCTTTAGGGTTCGGTCATGTACTTCCTGAAGGGCTTCCTTGGCCGCTCCTTTCTCTCCATCCAAGTAGGCCTATAATAGTGGTTATTTTGGATGATCTTTAAGATAGAAGCTTAGGGTGAACGTTTGCATTGCTTAATTCAAATAAAACCTTTATTCCACAAAAACTGACCTCATATGTTTCCTTGCTATTATGCAGTTTCAAAGCGTGAACCAAAGCCGTTTCAGCGGCACTTCGAACTGCATTGTTACTTTCTTTGCTTCCATTAACCAAGGCCGGCACAACTAACTGGAAGAGAATCGGTTGATAACAACTGAGACCATAAAAACCTTCAAAATATCCAATGAAAATGGCGTGTCCAAAGAAGCAAACACATGCCCGAGAGCCACGGAAACTGTTCTAAAATATAGAGAATGAGTTCAGTGTCAACTGATGCAATATATACCTTCTAACATCTAAATGTTGGTGATTTAAAGCTCGAGCTACCATCGTCAACAAGTCTCGAGAGGGGTTGGTTCCTTGGCTAAAAGCATGAATTTGCATAATGCCCCCTATGTTAAAAGCTACCTAATCAATAAATATCCAGCTGATTTGAGAGCCGATTGAGCGGTGAATTGATCGGCGGTAAGGGCACTTTGGATAGCCGATCGAACAGCTTCTTCAAAGTTATTCCACACCTAATAAAAGAGTTTATTTTCAGAGCAATAAAATCACCTCTTCAGCTGCAGTCATACACATTTGTTGGAAAGCATATCCCTTTGCCATACGTACTCTTGGCTTTGAGCTTGACTCAATATCTTAAAAAAGGTTCTTCAAAACATTGCATAAGCCCAAACGGACCTTTCAAGACATCATGTTTCTCCATTTGTTTGAGAGCAGCAGCAAGCTCTCCGAAAAGTGCGCCACTAACCATCGTCAGACTAAAGTTGACATAGATAAATTGTTAGGTTAGATGTACTTACCTATTGTCAAGTTCTGAAGGATTCTCAACGGCTTGATTGAATGTCATACTGCAAACACGGAATCCTTCCTCCATCACCTTTTCTGGGACTTTCGCGACGGAATCAGCCACCAACTCTCGAGCGCAAACAAAAGCGGTTTCCCTAAAACCGATTCGTGACGAAGCGCATAAAAACTTGCATTAGAATTTGATCTTGTTGAGCAGCTAATGTCTTCCACAATTCGTTGAAAAGAGGCTCAGGCTTAGGATGGATCTTGAGGAGGCGTCGTAACCCACCTACAAAGAAGTTAAAATCTTTTCGAAGTTTTTCATTAACCTGCTGCTACTAAGCGTACAGGCTTTGAAGAAGGGTCTTGCAAAGTTTTGACGAAAGTTGATTGGAGTTGCGGTAGGAAAGGTTTCAAGAACTGGTCCACCTGAATACAATTTTTAATTATCATATTCTCAAAGATAAACCTTATCAAGAAGCAAGGAAAGTGTCTGAAGAATTGGCAATTTAACATCGGCAGCATATCGATCACCGAGAACTCGAATCAGTGGACCCGTCACACTAACAACGTGTGTCTAAAAAGCTTTACTTTCTTACGCTGGATAAATCAAAGTGACCTTTATAGCTTCAGCGCTTGAAATGGAAATCAGTGTTCCCATTGTTTCACCGGAAATTGCCTTCGTTTCCACACCACCTGAACCAAAGCTTGGATGAATCAATCACAGGTAACCCACCATTCAAAATTCCTTCACGAAGAGGGGGCAATAAAGCGTTAAGAGCTTTCGGATGCATAAATCCAGGAATAGGTTTGCCTTTCGCCGTAAAGACAAGCGAATTTATTTGCTTGCGAAGAATTGGAATTGTCTAAATCCAACTTTGTTCGTGACTAACCAGCAAAACAAACCGATAAAAGGTCCTTCGAGTCAACGCTTCTCATTAGGCCAATCAATGCAGCAATTATGTGCTCAACAATCTAAAAATTTCAATATGCACAAATCATGAAGTGCATACAACCTGTGGGTTTGTCGAAGCGTAAAGCTGAATGAGACCCGGCAAAATATTTTCCACATTATCAATGAGCGGTACCTGAATAAAAAATTTGGGAAAAACTAATAAAAACTTACCTGTGTCTTCTCAATGAATGAACGTAATAGCACAGAAGATGGAACACTGCCTTTCGAAGACTTGGTGACAAGATAATCGAGCAATAAAGCCACACCCTCAGGCTCTTCCACAGCCACCACCACTTTTTCGCAATTCAGTATCATCTAAATGTATGTTAATGTCATTTGAAATCTTTTTCATCACAAACCGGGTCTGCTTCATTATTTTCCTTGCAATTGTTCAGAAGAGAATCGAGAATCTTCGGCAACTGTCTGTTCAAAGAATCGCCAGCTACAGCTGCCAGACTGCACAACGCATGCACATTCACCGGATGGCGAGTCAGCTTTGGAAGAAGATACGGCAGCATATGTCTGCATCAAACAAAATCAATTAACCTTTGTCCGTCCAATATACCTGCTATTTTGTCTCATCACTGCACAAAGACCATCCAGAACAGCTTCTTGGTCGGGCGTTAACTTCTCCAAAAGTGGCGCAATGATTTCGTCAAGAGCATCATTACCAACATTCTAAAGTCAAAGGATTAATTGGTTACCTTTCAACTATCATTACCGAGTAGAATCGAGAGAATGTCGTTGCAGCCTCTTCTCGCACTTTCGGATCTTCGTCGATCAAAGCCTTCTTTATAGGACCAACAACTTGATCCAAATAGTGTTGTAGCACGTCCTATAAAAATAAAGTAACTCCTTTAATTTTTCTAGTTATACCCTCGTGACATTGTTGATGATCTCATGGAGGGCAATCGCCACACCAACACGTTTCGACACATCATCAGAAGCAAGATTGAGCTCAAGAATTGGCAAAACCTAGGTTCGACGTTTAAAAGTACCAAATTTTGAAAATTACCTCATTGAGGATTTTTTCTCCCATTTTTCTCACGAGTTCTCCGAGGCAGCGTGCACCCATTTGTTGTCGTTCCTCTACGTTAGAAGCAAGACAGTCGACAACGTTCTCGAACAACGTCTAAACAAAGTTATAAATAAAATGGGTTTCAGAATTTACCTTCATGATCTCCTTCACAGTTCTTGGTGTATTTGACACAATCATCTTCCACACATGGCTAGCCGCATTTCTCACCACAAGAGCCACGTCAGCTCTAAAATCCAATTAATGCATCTAAAAACTTCTTTTACCTAGCCAAGTATAGGCCGGATAACACTTCATCTCGAGATTTTTGTCCCAATGCACGAACGATTTGCTTGCTCGCCTGTTCCATTCCCATCGTGTCGTCGTCATTCGCAGTGTCCGAGGTCGACTTTCCAGATACTCCTGGAAAATTTGATTCAAGATAAATTTGTAAAAATGAAACCTGATATGTTGAACAAGAAATCTCCAATGAGTTGAACAGATGCATGTCGGATTCTCCAGTTCTCATCAAATAAGGCTTGTTGAAGTTGTGGCAAGAGGAGGCGCCGGGCGTGCGAGCAATATTGAGCAATAAGACGTTGACCTGCCTTCAACGCTGAAGCACGGACGTATCTAAAAAAAAATGGTACATAACATGTTTAAAACAAAAACTTACTCATTTTCATCCGCAAGAGCTCGCAAAATTGGAGGAACAACTTGTGGGAGGTATGGGATGAATCGATCACCAAAGACCATTGGCAAGTAGATGTACATTAGAATGTAGCCGTCTCTCGTTTCAGCAGACACCTAAAAAGATTATGAAAGTGATGAATATGGAGCAGAATCTCTAACCTCGACACTCTCTGTAGCGGCAATAATTTCGGGCATCACATAATCAAGTTGCTCCTGTCCGACTCCCGCCAAAACCTCTGCAAGACCTTGTGCCGCTCCCGATCGATCGACGGTGGATTGCTCAGAGATCTGAAAATCTTGGTTAGGTCAAGCAATTGAGCTAAAAGTTTACCAATTTGTCCTTAAGCCATGGGATAATTTCATCACGAAGGCGTTGACTTGTGGCTCCTTCCGATTTGCAGATGATGGCACCAAGAGCCTAAATAATCAGCGTTTCTTTTCAGATTTCCAGATATTTTTGTTTGTGCGTTTCCAATAAAGTTTTTTACCTTAGCTGCAACAGCACGAATATCGGGAACGGGATCCATCAAACTCTTTTGAAGTCCAGGTACAAGTTTCCACAAATATGGTTCCATGTCCTAAAAAAATGCATGAATCGGCTTAAAGAATAACCAAGAATACTTTGTGATCTGTCAGCGAGTAGATGTTAGAGATGATTTGTACGGCAAAACGTCTAGTCTCCGAATTGCGATCTTCGAATGCTCGTTGAATGATGGGCATGATGAGAGCGAGTGATGGAGCATCGATGTAGTGAATAAACTAAGAACAAATGCACCTGTTTTACTGTTTGATCGGCTATTTGTTTCATAAGAAATTTACCTTCGTGTTAAGAATCGTTTGAAGTGACATGCTCGTCTTTGTTGCAGGATCAATCAGTCCCTGAATAACACTTAACAAATAATTCATATTCTAGCATACCAGCATGATTTTATTAACGACCCCAAGAATTTCGGGATTTCGAACAACTTTCGCAATTTCACGCAAAGCTTTTTCGCCCGAAGCTCGCACCTAAAAACAATAATGCTTGAACATGAGGTAAAAGCTTGCCTTTGCATGTGAATCTGTTACAACTTCGATAAGCTTTGGAACAATTGATGGAAGACATGAAGAAAGTTCATCGGGTGACAAGTGAGACATTGAGCCTAAAAATTTGCTAATCATGATTAAACTTGATCAGTAAACGCAAAAACGTATTTTAAAACTACCGAGTAGTTCAGCGGCAGCGCATTTCGTCCTCCAGGCATCATCATCAAGCGCAATCAAAAGGGCCGGGAGCACCAACTAAAGAAGATAAGCTATAGAGTGATCTACTACCAAATGCTACCTTTATACCATATTTAGTCAAAGCACTCATCATCGATCTGGCGGTATCTTCAGCAGACTAAAGCGATTAATGAATAAATTGGGTGAATTTTCAATCCCAATACCTGTCGAACATTAGAATTGGCATCACCAAAATTAATTAAAAGCAACGGCAATGCTTTGATCATATACGGTTCAAACAAACGTCCGATTGTGCTGAAATATGCTCTTTTCATCGAAGGATCCACATTTAAATAAACCTGCATAAGATCTCCAACGCCAATAATCCTCCTTCCCGATGTTTATCCTCTTTCTTGTCGTTCAAATACTAAACATAGAGATTAAAACTTCGTAAATTCATTAGAACCTTCATCACTGTAGGAATGAGATCCAAATCCTTGAGTCCTATCATACCCATTCCTTTCACAAGTCCAGCAATGCCTAAAGTATTGATCATTATTTATGTGTCAGTTAAATTGGGCACTGTTTCGATTTTACCCTGCTGGAAACTAACCAAAAGCAGCTCCTCTTCTTTCGCCATAGGTGTTTCCTTCGAAGAGCACCGATTGCATTTGTCCCACCAAATCTTTCGCCGTTTCCGCGATAGCCGGAACCAATGGGGCCAGACATCTTGAGACTGATTCTTGAACCTGTAAACAAAGAATTATAATCGAAAAGATGAATTACCGTTTGTGAGGGTGTTGACAAGGTATCCATCAACTTTGAGATAATGTGCCGAACCTGAATATTCTTAAATTAACTCAACTTTAGAAAATCTTACTTTAGGACTCTTTGGGTCGATGTGTTGAGCCAATGTTCCAAGAAGAACAACAAGCCCCTGACGCAAATTATCGTGAGTCTAAAATTTGAATACTAACCGAGAAACTTTGAAAATAAGTACCTCCGCGTTTTGCAATTTATTCAAATGGTCCTCTAAGAAAGGAAGTAGATTTGTGAGTATCGCTCTACCGTGACGACTAAAACAAATAAAAGTTACACAAGCCTCATACATGCAAAACCTGATCGAGTTGATGGCGGCATTTTGCATGGCTTGCCGACATTGTGCTGAGGGATCAGATAAACCCTAAAAAAGACTTTTTCTGGATTTATTTGGACACTTACTTCTGGCACAACGACATAGATCAGTTGTTCGCTTTCGCTTTCATCGATCAAATTCGAAATGAGTTCCAAACCACGACTGATCTAAAACATTGTAATTAGACAAGTTTTCGTAAATCTTTAACCCCAAGTCTTTTCTCCCATTGATCGACCACATCTCTCTGCATTCTGCCCATTTCGTCGAACTTAGCCCCACTGGCTTCGCGAAGCTGTTGGTATAGCTGAAAGACAATAATTTACAGAGCAAATAGCATAAAGTACTTTCTGAAGCTTGGTGATTGAAGAGTTAATTTGATCCGGGAAATGGCCAAGAAGAGCAACAAGAGCACGTCCTGACGCATCACGGGCAAAGACGTGAAAAGACGTGCATTCAACTGAAGATAAGATTTAAGGAGGTTTGCACATTCACTCAACAGTCAGCCAAAAATATCACCTATCATAAATTCGATCATGTCCAGTGTTGGATGAAGCATAGAAGCTTCCCACAATTCTCGTGATGTTACAGCAACATTTTCAACCTCATCAAATTGAGCGATGAACAAGCGAGACTAAAAAGAGATTTTTATGCAGGGTGTGCTAATAAAGAAAACGCACTTGGCAGAATGTGATAAAGCTGGTATCCTTGCTCGAAGTGATCAAACGAGTGATGAGTTGATTGGCCGACAAAATCTATAAACTATGAGTTGACAAGAAGTCCGTAAAAGTAAATCACGAAAATAGTAAAATACAAACTTGAAGAGCTGAATGTCTCAATTCGGGCTTGGCTTCCTCTCCAAGAATCGTCAGAACTCTCATAATAAACCGAATCACTTCATTGCCCGTATCTCCCGTCTCGTTGATCAGCAGGACCAAGTTGGTCAAAGCTTGTGTTGCCGTTTCTCCCAGAGACTCGATCTAAATGATTGATGAAATTAGAGTAAGATAAAATAAAAACTCACTTCGTTCTTTGACAAAAAGTTGATCAACAATTCTCCATAATCAATGATTGGAATATTCAAGACAGAATCATCCTGAGTAACAAAATTAGTGGCTAGCTTTTTCTACACTTACTCGTAAAAACTTCTTGTTGATTGCCGATTTAACCAACTCGAGAGCGGCACCCTTGAGGATTTCAGAATACGCTGATCCTTCGATGATTCCTTTAAGTAATGGGAAGTAGAGGAGAATTTCCGATGATGAAATCATGTCTTCGTAGAGCAGATAGTCATCCTGAAATATGATAGTCTTCGTCGTCTCTTTTTTTACTGTATACCTCATCCTCATCACCAGCATCCATCACAAAAGCTCTTTCTTGAAGCAAAGCGAGTAGTTTCCTCAACACTTCCTCGACACCTTCTCCAAAGACATTCGGTGGTAGCCATTTTGATTCGGCGAGTCGAAGCGTCCAATATCCAACTTTCTCCACTAAACAGAAATATTGAATGCTAAAACTGATAAAATTATACTCAAAGCATCATCCGTCCGTGACAAAGCAACATCTCGGAAAGCGAAAAACAACTTTGCTGCGTCTTGAGCTGTCAAGTAGGATTTTGTCAACGGAAGACCTCGTTCGAAGAGCAAATAAGCTTTTTTGAAAGCACCCTAAGCAAAAGATGTGAATTTCTATAATTATAAAATCTTCAACCTGATGATCAGCAAGCACCATGGCTCGTGCTTCATCCAATGATAACTCGGCAGCACAGTAAAAATGCTTGACTCGATCTCGAACCTCCTAAAAAAATTGCAGTGAAACATTAAATTTGCTATATTGACCTTTTCTTTAGCCAACTCCTTTTCGAGGGCTGCTTTCTGTTTTGGCGTCAATTTTCCTTCTTTGCGCATTTTCTCTGCCAATTCTCGTCGAATCTCCATCTAAACGAGAAAATTTAAACGGTTCTACCAAATAGTTTGTTTTGCATTTCTAACGGCCGTTCAAGAACATCCATGTTGCGTAAATATTCTTTTAATACCTCAGCTTGTTGATCGGCAAATGAGTATGCCTTGTTCTCTCTTTTCACATTCTTGCCAGCTGCACCTTCATCGATTTCGAGGACTTCAGTGTTGTACAATTGGCCCTCTGGTGTTCGATAAATTGCCACATCTCTTTCGCTAATCTAAAAACGACACATGTCAAATCTACTCTTTTATTCCGACCTGTTTGACATATGCTTCTGGTTCAACTCTCATAAGGTCCTGTTCTATATTCTTCCACAATTCGTCTCTTACTTCATTCATTCCCGATGAGACCAGAATATTCAACGAGTTATCCCTTAACAGGAGACCATTGTTCGTAAGCAATAGATACATACCGGACTTTTCGGTTCACACATTTTAGCACTTTAGTCACAATTTCGTCTTTGAAAGCATCGCTTCGCATCCATTCAGACTTTTGTTGCTGCGAATGAATCCAACGAAGCCATACAGAACCATCGACCTCAACTAAAAATAAATCAAATGCGCTACTTTTGACGAAACTTACGCAATCGTGGCAGAGAACCCAAGAGAAGCGTGTGAACAGCGAGAGATGCGCTATCTCCTTTAGACGTCAGCAACAACTAAAACCTAAACTTTGAAATTCTACAGCGCAACTTAACCTCAAGAAGTGCAACCATCCATTCTCCAGGAATCGACCAATTATCGGCACACGGGCGTGAATGAGGCACTTTGCGCAAAAGCTGAAACTTACACATCACCTGATTTCAATTGTCTGACACCGACTTCATCCGCCGATCCACAGATTATCTCCGCGTAGGCTTGTTCTGCCAGCTTACTGGCCAACTCCGTTCCATCATCGCCGAATATTTGTGTGATCGTTTCTTTGGCAACTCTCCGCACTCCTGCATCGGGCCAAAGCAACAAAACCACAAGTGAGCGCAAACCAAAATTAGCGACCATCTAAAATTGAAACAGCTATCAAAAGAACGTTAAATTCTCACAAATGCATCGCTATTCACCACTTTGCCTGCAACTTTCACCCATTGTGCAGCAAACATAGGGTCGATTGCTGACAGTACTTTTGGCTAAATGAATTTGTTTAAAATCTTTATAGGAGTTTTTACTTTGTATAGATTATCCCAGGTCGGCAACTTTTTGAGCAAAGATTCATCTTTGGTTTTCTTTGGGTCCACTTTCAATAGTAACGATATTAAAGCAATCGCATCAAGGGGCTAAAATCAAGCATATTACAATAGTAAAATATTAAGCACCTCTTTATGACAAGTATCGATATCCTTTTTGAGCGTAGCTTCGACAGAATTTTTGATAACAACTGAATCATCTAAAATAAGTTTTAAAATCAGTTCGATGTACTCTATCGCTCACATTGCTCCAGAAGCTCGGAAATTGATGCAAACGCAATGTGCCTGAGAGGAGCTGGCAACTTAGTAGATTCCTGCAAAATTTTTCTTTGGAACTTAAATGAATGATAACCACCTTGAGAATTTGTTCAAATCCTTTTGAGTCTTGATTTAGCAATGAAGTCCATTTGTTTACACATTGCCACTGTCGTCGTACAACTTCCTCGTTTGCTAAATAATAAAGTTAGAATAAAAAAAGTGATAACCAACTATCCGCAATTTTCAGAATCTTTGCAATGACATCAACGGCCAAAGCGTCAAATGAGCCTCGTTCAACTTTTGCTGTTGTGCACAATGAAAGACCATTTAATAGTTGTATGCGAAGTTCTGGATTCTTTGCACCTAAATTTAACGTTTTAAACTGTTTTGATCTTTGCTGATTTAACATTTAGTAAGAGCTTGCCTACCTGAAGCTTGATTGAGTAGCTGCTCAGCCACAAGACCAAGGTTTGCCGGTTGTGCGCAAGCGTTTCCGATGTAGGCGAGCACATTAGTAGTGTACGGCAAACTTGCGAGTGAACCTGAAAATCCGCCAAATCATTAGTAAAACTAAACCATTACCTTGAATAGAGTTAAGCAGATCTTTGGCGAATGCATCCAAGCCAAAAGTAACATTCTTCAAAAGCGATCCAATTCCTGAAAAACATTGAGATTTCTATACCCCTAACTAAATGTACCATAAATTGCGACTTCCGGGCTGCGTAGAGCACTCTTCTTGATTTGAGGCAGAAGTTGTTCTTCAAAGTCCTTTGCTGAGATTTTTTGATACGATTTTTGGAGTCCATCCTAAAGTACAAAAATCAGCAAATGAAAGCAACAAAGAAACTAACCAACAAAAAGCCAGGAACTGCCACTTTTGTCAGCAGAACATGTTTGTTAAATAAATCGATCAAGACTGGAACAAGACCGTTCTTATCGGTCATCTAAAAACGACGCTGAATTAAGACTATAAATAAGTTTGACTAACCTGATCAACGAATCCAATAAACGTCAGTATCCTCAAGGCAAATGCAGGCTCGGTGGATAGTTCAGTGATTGTCGTCATCATTCGCTTGTAATTCGTTTCGTTTAGCCACTTCTGGAGTTGCTTTTTGAAATATCGAGCGCCCGTGTTTGATGAAGAAGCGTAATACGATAGACTTGCAAGTCCTTGCACCTATAAAAGAAAACTTAGATTAGATTCAATTTTAAACACCTACCAATAACTTGAAATCTGGATCAGTTAAATTCTCAGTAGCGCCACTGAATAACCATTTCGCAGGTCCCACTGATTCTGCCCCAATCGACCGTCTGAAAACAATAGGATGAGTGTCAGTAAAAAACGCCCTACGTTATGTTTGCCAAGTCCGGATAGGTTGCCACAACGGTGTGTGACAATCGTCGTATCGTTGCCTCATTGTTGAGTCGAAATAACCTTGCCATTAGACGCTCAAGAGCCTAATCAATAAAGCTTATAAAAGCGTGCCGCTAAATTTACATGAAGCGTCCGCCGCGAGTGAAATCGTCGGGCCCCTGCCACTGCTAATCCCACAAAACCCTTGATGTACGGTTCATCGAGGCCTAAAAAAGAATTTTAATGAACGCTTGACAAGAAAAGAATTTTAATGCAACGCTCTTAATAGACAAGTTCAGTTTCCAAAGAAGTGTATTTACCTTCATTTGAGCGGTCCAGCACTCGTATCAAGCCGGCTATCGCCTGCGAATGGCCCTTCGTGCTGGGCACTGCAAGGGCCATCGCCACCTTTCGCCCATGCTCTCGTATTTCCTCTTCGGTCTAAAAAGAAGACGTAAAACAAAATAACTGTTCAAAATTATGAGTAAAAAAACTTCTTAGGAACCCTCACCAAAACAGGTGGAACCTCTTCCGCGTCTTTTGGTTCTTCGAAACCATTTTCTTCTGTTCGAGCAGCCTCTTCTTCAGTCATCGGACTCGTGTTTACCTTAAAAAGAAACACGATTTTAAAGTTGTATTTAAAACTTCAAAGACAAGAGAATTGAATAGAAAATGGCTGGTAAAGTTAACAAAAAACTGCTACTCCAAAATATGAAGCCTCTATTTTCTCCTCTCATCAAAGGTCTTAAAAGACAAATTCACGGGAATGTCGAAGTGAAAATGGGTGAACAAAGGAGTTTCGTGTAGCCTCTTGCCGGGCGTTATGCAACTAATAAAAAAAACTAGATTCGTGCGTGAAAAGTTCTTTGATACTACAAATAAAAAGTGTGGGTGGGGCTAGAAAAAGAAATGAATGATACAAGAGAACGCGAGTTACTAAAGCCGATCTAGAAAGACAAAATTGTTGTTTTTTAGAAAGGAGAAACTTTTGAAAAGTATAAAATCTCAATAGTTTGCATTTGATAATACAAATTTCTGTATATGTTAACACCACAAATATTTTTCTTCAGTGACTTTTTAGTAAAAGAGGCATTCAAGTTCAGTGAATAATTATTTTTAATCTTTATTTTCCGACTTGATTTTTATGAAATTTTTGATGATCAAAAACGAAAACAAAGATAGATACTGTTTATAAGCGAATCAAAATAAATAAGTAGTTAAAAATCTTCAAGGATTTGCCAACACTTCTTGCTGGGCCTCTTGTCCATTCTCTTGTGGTTCACTTGAGACGACTAAACAATGAATAGAAAAAACTACTTTTCTGACAAAATTTACCTGATTGTTGTGAAACGCTAGCCAGAGATTGAGCATCGCCGACTAATTGAGGCTGGTTCGGAGCCAATGTTTCGGGTCTAAAATTGTCAAAAATGGTGTGTTACCTTAAAATGTTTTTACTTGAAAAGCATCATTCGATGAAAATCTGTGAGATGAGTAACAAGACCCCAAGCAGTCTGAAAGCGTTGCTCACACGAGGCGCACTTGAGGACTTCGGGTTCGTCTAAAAACTACATTTAATACTCGACATCAAAATTTCGCTGTGCAGTTGTTTTATCACTTAATACACTCCCTTGTCAACACTCACGTGAGTCCTTAGGCTTAGCGCAAGCAACAAGTCGGTGCTGCCTCCATACTTCGAAATCGCACGTAACAAAGCGACATCCACCGCAAATGAGTGTGTCAGCCATACCTGCAATAATTTATATTATAAGAATCAGCGCGTGAAGTTTAAAAGTTGTCACTAAAGCATATTTTCCTGATAGTCTTTGAACAACACATAGTCGACAAAACCAACCCGTGTCAGCAAAATCCGTGTTCTTAGTGAGATCTACAGTGGCGATTCGTCGATTCCTATCATTCACTTGATTGATTTCTTCAGTATAGGCAAGCTGAATATAACATGTGCTTAAGATTTGAACTTGAACAAGTATATATTGAACTTGAAGTGATAGTAAAGAAACTCCTCTCACCTCATCAGCTTTACGTTTTTTGACGATCTGGTCACTCGCCTTTTCGAGCCTGAATTCGAATTTTACCAATTTTTCATGAAACCTCTTAATTTGAATCTTGTCGGTTTTTTGTTGGATTTTATAAAAGGCAATAGCCTTTCATAAAATCTTTAAAAACAAAACAAAAAAAAAATAAAATAAAAATCATCAAATCGTTACCCTTTCGGATTGATGGCGAGACGAACATCTTAAAAAAAAATAAAATAAAATAAAGAGAAAACACATACTCAAAAATTGATCTTTGACTAAAAATCTGAAAAATGACGCCAATTGGCTATTTTAACGCTTTAAAAGCTTTTTAGTCTAGGAAGCGACAAATTTACCGATTCTAGTCCCCTTCAGCATTTGATTGTGAAGCTTGACAACGGCTTCGTCGGCATCTTGACAGCGGCTATATTGAACGAAAGCAAATCCCTAAATAACAATAAGGCAAACTTTGACAGCTTCCAAATCAATGGTTGCAAAACTTGTTTCTAACTTTTAGAAAAAATCAATCCACTAAGCAATTTTTTAGCTATTTTGTTATTTCGCACATATGCCAAACCTTAAACAATGTAGCGGCAATAACATTTCCATAGTTGCGACATAACTCAATAACTTCGTCACGTGTATTATTGCCTGGTTGAAGGTTTCCAATAAAGATCCGAGATCTAAACGAGAGTTATAAAGGTAATCGCTTTTCAATGCACCTCTTCATGAGCGGATCCGTCGAATTCGTATCATAGCTGACCTCCCCAAATGAGACTGGCCTAAACTAATTATGAGAATAAGAAATAAATATTTAACTCACATCGACAAAGAACTTTTTGGTTCTTCGTTGATCGAATTGCGAATTCCAAACGGAGATGCGTACCCGTATGGTGCTAAAGACATACCATGAGTAACTATGCCAAATTTTAATCGTTAGAAATCTATTCAAACAGTAACGTACCAGCCATTGTGGAGGAACCAGAAGAGAGTCAATCGATGCCCTCAATAAACACAGTTAGACTTTAAAAGAGTAGCTGAGAATCGTAAAAGCAATAATAGAACAAACATATCGACAAAAAAATTCAAATTCTCAAGTACGACTGTACAAGCAACGCCAGGGTAAGAACGCGTAATTTTCAATGTCTAGGTATGTATTCGTGTTAACGTGCTAACGTGTTCAACAAGCAATAAAAGACAGTCCTTTCAAAACTTCGCATCTTTATTCAAACAACTATAAAACTGGAAAATAAAATTTCAAAAACAATTTTTGTTAGTTTTTAGGTGGGAGATCAAAAAGTGAATGGGAGATCAAAAAAGACAAAGTCCTTTAAAAATTCTAATTAACTTCCTTTGAGGAAAGCTTTCATTTATTCTTTGACTCGCTTTGCACGTAGAAGTAGCATTCGGGAACATCTCGGAAAGTGGCATGCTAAAACAAAAAAATTAAAACAGTTGTAAACATTATCAAATTATCTATTGCTAGTTTTAAGCTCGTCATCGCTGTTCGTATGTAGCAATTCATATTAATTTACCCCAAATTCAATTCGGTTCTGCAATCTATTGTCTATTAGCTTCGCGACCATCCACGCTTTGCTATCGTCGTTGATTTTCTTCTGGAGCTCGTTAAGAATGCCCTAAACTTTCATGTTACATTTTCAAATTTAAAATGAAACCTCGTTGACAATCTTGCTTAGGAATATTCGTGCTGGGAGATTTGCTAATCTCAATGCTTCGGGTAGGGCGTAAAGGTTTTCGGTTGCAACTTCCTGAATAGTTCAACCTTACACGTATTGCAATTCAAAATTACCGATAAAATGTCGCCGTTGGTCGGCCTTGGGTCATCAAGATCGAAAACACCCCAAGATTTTACCTAAAATAAAATTCACAAGTTTTATGCAAAATTAGATACCTTTCCAGCCTCGAATTGTTTGGCAGTAGCGACCAGAACCCGAATAATAAGCAAGTCGTTCGATCGATAAAATAGCATTGCATTTCCGCAAACAATTTCACTACGACGTAGTATCGTGTTTTGTGATAGCGAACTAAAACTGCAAGTTAATAAATAAATCGTGTGTTTCACCTCTGCATTGCTTCTTCAGCAAGTTGGCTTTTCCTCCAACCTATTTCCGAGTCATCGACACAAAGCCAGTATGGAGACACTTGAAGGATCGGTTTTGCCTAGATAAGCGAACAAATTGTATCATAAGCTGGTAATCATAATGCAACTAACCACAAAATCATTCCGTAAATTCGGGTCGATAAACATAGCAAGGCTCCCGGTGTTCAATTCCTCTCCGGCCAATGCCTTTTGACAAAATTTCGCGTCAACAGGTGGGGAGAACTGCAAATCCGAGTAGCCAAGAAGCATTGGTGGATGAGGACGCGGGGGCATTCGACCCGATTTGTAGATCCAGAAGTCATTGGCAACTGGGCAGAGGATGGGAGTGCTATAATACTTTTTTTAGGCATGTAAATGAAGAGAAGGTTTGGCAGTTGATTTTACGGTTGACGATTGCTTTTCCAAAATACTTTAAAAACCTCAAAACCTGTTTTATTGATCTAATTTTCATGAACTACCTTTAAGCTATAATAGAACAAACCAGTTGAAAACTCCGTTATTGATCAGTATATCAGAGAGAAGCGGCGGTAGTGGTGGTTCTAGTTCTGTAATAGAGGTAGCAGGATACAGCGCAAAGTCCACTTCCGGTATCAAGTCACCAACGTATAATTCACCTAACTAAACTTAAAGTTGAGAAAAATTAACTGGCGAGGCTACCTTAGCAAACCGATGCACTCTACGTGAAGTTTTCTTCGGCAGAACAACGATTTTGTTGCACGCGGGGTTATTTACAATCTCCTCCAGCGTTTGCTGAGCGAAGTCAAACATTCCCTAAATTGAATAAATTTTCGGTTAAAGCTTTATACTACTTCTTGAATCCCAGCAAGTGCTCGCAATTTGACGAGAAAGACAGATGATGGAAGGAGTTCTTGTGAGAGTTCATCCGGCAATACAAACAATTGATGCGTGGGTGCTTCCTAACAAACTTTCATTAGTTCTTTCTAAATTTAACTAACTATTAAAAATTTGCCGTCAAATCCTCCATCAACGCAAGCAACTTTCCACTTCACTACCTAAAGTTTATAGTTAATACGTATCATTATCCAAAAAATACCTTTAAACCTTTGTTGATCACCGACAGGGCCATGACTCTTGCCCAATATCCTCTTTCGCACTCTAGCAGACAGATAGTCCCGAAGTCAACATTCTCATTTCGTAGAAGCGGCACGGAGAAACTAAATAAAACAAGGTTAATGAAAAAATAAGTGTTACAAACCCATTCATAAACTGCTGTACGTATTCGATAGTGTCGAGATTCTCACCTCCCTCTATACACAACAAGTGACACGGATGTACGAAAGCAATCGGTCGACCCTAAGTGCACCATTGATTTGCCTGAATATAGCCCAACCTCGAAGTTAACTGTTCGTGACAAATTTTTTATTAAAAGCTGCTGCAAATCGTCGATCCTCGCAATATTCTGTAGTCGCCACTGCTTGCCTTCTACTCCTCTAACTTTCCTCAAGTGCTCGTTTTCTAAAAACAAATTTCCAGATTAAAAAAAGTTGCAATACCTAGTACTTGAATATGGCGTGTATTGATGCAAGTAAGTGTGCCCCATAATTCCGTTGCATTATTCAGAAAAAGTGTAGAAGATGTGTCCAATAATTTGAGCATGTTGAGGAAGCCGATCTTCTCAATCTAAAAAATGGAACTTATTCGGAACAATATTATATCAAACTTCACGGAGAAAACACTCGTATCTCTTGGTGCTCATCTCGGCAATCGTTCGACTTCCAATAATCGTGTCCAAATCTGGTAAATTCTCGGTCGAATTGTAGAGAAATGGTTGTCGAAGCTGAAAAGAACAATTTTATTGCATCGTAACAATTTACCCAAGCTTTCAATAGATAACCAATTCAAGTCAAGTTACACTTACTATTAGAAAAGTTATTTTACCTGATCTAAACTCTTTATTTGGTGTCTATTTGTTCGATCTTTCATGATTTTGATCTGTGAGGCGTTGATGAAGAAATAGAAGAGTGAGCTGTCGTCTCCAAAATCGACGGACTAAACAAATAAAGTTAGCATAATTTACAAGACACTAAAGTACTTGTTCTTCAAAAACTGGTAATGGTTGGCTGATATTCAAATCGGAAGGCGGCTCCATTCTAAATATAAGCAGATTACAATGTTTCAAAAAATATTGGAAAAACAAGGAATGGTTAACAAGAATTTGCAAATCCTAGCGTTTTTACGTTTTGTGTTTTCTTTTTGAGTAAACTCAGGGAAAATTTGTGTTTGAAAATCGAACCGAGAAGTAAAGATTTCAAAATCAACAATTTCCAAAGAAAGAAAAAAATTAAAAACGAAGAAAGTTTTTGGGTGGTGCTAGCAAAAGCGCCAAATTATTTGCGCCGCGTATCATTTGCGCCAAATTTGTGCTTTTCAACACACTTTTCTACCAACTCTGATTGTTTATTTTTATTTTTTTACTACTTTTTCTCGTCGACGATTGCTCGCTACTTTGACGTCTTCGCCAGATCTAAAAATGGCATAAAATCGATATAAAGAGCAAAAAGCCCAATCGGTGACACAAAAATGACTGTTTTTAGGGATGTATTTAAACGTGTTTTCTGATTGAAAACAGTGTGAATTAAAAATATGAAGTAGAAAATTGAAAAAAGTTGGTTAGAAGTTGGGAAAAGTGATTTGTTACAGTGATTTTCATAAGCCTAAATTTGGCGCAAAAAACGCGGCGCTTTTGCTAGCACCTCGTTTTTGAAGGAAGCTAGATAAAGGCACCTAAAGTTCAAAGGCTACCTTTTTCACAACTTCAATTTTAACGATTCAATCTGAAATCTCCACAGTTAGTACACGCTCCATGTACCCTTGAATGTTGAATGTATTGACAAGTCTGAGTCCCGGAGTGTATCTGGCGCTAATAGCACCTCTTCAAGGCACATTCACTGAAATTTACTTGGATGCGGAGATTGAAAAGGCTGAAGCAGGGGCTGAAGCTGGGGCTGAAAGCGCCCCACACAACAGGGTCCCTCCGCGTGAATTGCTTTCTTCTTTGCGCTCAAACCTAGACCCTTTCCTTTCATCCATCCAGCCCCCTGCTTTGTATGGAAAAATCGATGTGGTTGTCCCGGAAAAGAAAAAGGAAACTCCTTTTTCAGGCCGCTAGGGCCAGTTTTTCTCTTTTTCCAGCCACAGCTTTCTCCCCTAGCTTTTTCTTCACTTTTCGACTCCTTTAGCTCACTTGACACTCGATTTCTTTCACTTCTTCGAGATAAAATTTTCGCTCAGAAAATCCTCAGAATCACATTTCCACAACTCGTTGAAGGGTTTTCTAGTTGATTTTGCTTTTTTAAATCTTACCGGCTTTCGGATTCAAGCTCAAGACATTGCCAGATTTTATCACTAAGCCCTGATTCTCAAGCAGAACACATACCGTTTAAAATTTCATAACTTCAACTTCTTTTGTTCAAGAGACGATACTGTGGTTGTGAAATTTCTGGATGTTGAAGTTACCCGTACTTCCAAAAGGTCTAAAAACTGTTTCACAATTCCTTTTGTCTCTGAACTTATTTCAAAGTTATCTTTCTTTTAATTCAACAAGTCTTAACCGACTTTGTTAACAGATATAAATATTTACCCAGATCTACCTTTTCTAATCCAAGCATCAGATTTCCACGATACGACCATCTATTTCGGGTCTCTTCACCTTTTTCCCTATCCTTAGGTGCCAAATTTCAGAACACATCCGGTGACCTTTCTCTTATTTATCCTCACCGCTATTTTAGTACTTTTCGTTGGGTTGACTTTTTCGAAGTCTTCGACCCTTTTTGCTTTTTGGGGAAAAAATGCATAAAACTTGAGGGCATTAGTGGGTGAATCCGAGTGATGGATGAGGCTTTCGGCTGTTCCGCGGAAGAACTTTAGAAAAAAGAAAAACAAAAATTTACTGACAATGAGGGTTTTTGAAAAGTAAAATAGTAAAAATAGGCAAGAAAGTCTGAATCTTTGATCTTTTATTTAGCTTTCCTTCGAAGTTTTCCTTGTATTTTGTGTTCGTAAAGCAGAAACGCATCCCGTCTAATGCACCTGAACGATATTTTTCTCACAACGTCTCAAACACCAAATTTGTAAATTTCCTCGAAACACCAAAGCCTTTTCTGTTTTTCAGTTTTTCTTGCAGATTACCTGTGTGTAGTGAGAGGTCAAATGATTTATTGTCTGGGTGATTTCTCGTAAAAGGACTAAAACGGGGGAATGTCTCGTAGAGGGAATGCCCCAATTTGTCTTCTCTCACCTTTTCTCTTTTCACATGGCTTTCAACACAAAAGGGTTCACTAGGGAGGGTTCATCAAGAAGTGAACGAAGAGAAGGAATGCCCACCACCCACCGCATTCATCGTATTAGTATTAGTGCTTGCAAGGAGTGGAGTAGTTTTGGTTCTGGATTGTGCCTATTTTGAAGTATTCTTTAACTTCCGATGTCTAACTACTTTTATAAATCTAATAATAACACTATCAGGTGCTATTCTTGCTCTTGCTCACCCATTTGACGTAACCATATGTATTAGTATTGCTGTACGTTTTGATACAATTGTACTTCAGTACCTCACAATCAGTACACATTTCTATACTTTTCAACAATCCCCATCTATCCACTTTTCGTCGAATTCTCAGCGCTTTCATCTGGCTGGCATCCAAGCTGCGTAAACAATCCACATGCAGTCAACTGTTAGCTAAAATAATTCTACTTCAGCAGTATCTTTGCTTCAGTTCTATAGCATCTTAATTTAGGACTCGATTTGTTTCAATAGATTGTAGAATTTCTTCAATCCTCTCATGCCAAAACAACTCCTCCCAAGTGTGGTCAAGTTGTTTCAATAGATTGTAGAATTTCTCCAATCCTCTCATGCCAAAACAACTCCTCCCAAGTGTGGTCAAGTTCACTCACGGGGTGGTACGAGAAGAAATTAGAATCCCCCCGGCAAAGTCGCTTTTTCTTGGAGTCCCATTGGGAGTTGGGGGACAAGTTCTTGATAGGGGCATGAAAAGAACGATGAAAAATTCGATTTCCCTTTCTTCCAGTTACTAACTGAGAAACGAGTGTGTTTGGCAGGGATATACTCGTTTTCCAAATTAAGAAAAGTTTAAGCAAGTAACTTTCAGTATCTATATTCAATTAAATCTCTAGCTAAAGGTATTCAGCTAATAAATGGCTATTCACTTGATTAAGATATTCAATTAAATGTCATTCAGTTTAGAAGTGATAACTTTTCCTTGTAACAAGACGTTTTCGAATTTCAAAGCCATTTTGCAAATTCTCAAGTCTCAAGAAACTTTAAGCACTCTTTACAGAACTCAAACATTTCTGTCAATTTAAAGCCAACCCCTTCTCACTAACGCTTTCCACCCTTGTTCCCCATCTCCCGCTGTGTTTCCCCATCCAATCGTTGTCATGCCTACCGCTCACTCATCACCATTCGCACCTCAGACTTCATTTCCACAATAAACTTTAAAATGATATAAAAACTCTAATTCGTTTAATCTCATCTTGGATTTGATGGCTTGAAAACTTGTAAAAAATAGGTAAAAAATGGGGATTAGAGCCTAGGGTTTCTGTAGGCATCGATTCACTAATCTTCGCTTTTGAAAAATCTAAAATCTGAACTAAGAAACAAAGCTGTTCAAAGCTTTTAACAAAAATTCAAGAATCACAAGTTTCTCATTGTTTACGAATCTTTCAAACACTCAAAACTTGTAAGGATTCACAAGTCTATAAGCTCACAATAGATTTGAACTCTGATATTCAAGTGCTTACAATCAGAACTTAATAACACTACAGTAGCTACAAGCTTATAATCCGAATCTGAATGCTGAAGCTTTCTAGGGCATCTAAGCTTTACAGTACAATAGTTACAGTTCTAATAATCTGCTAGTTCTGCTAATTTTTGACTTAAATCATAATAATCTCTTGTTTTCCATTTACTCAAATGAATCAATTGTTTTGGCTCTTTGCAGTGGTGTATAATTAGTCGTAGAAGAGAAGAGAGAGTAGAAGAGAGAGTAGAAGAGAGAGAGTAGAAGAAAGTAGAAGAGAGTAGAAGAGAGTAGAAGAGAGCGGACATCAAGGGTCATGTTTGAGTAAGGGACTGGGGTCTCTCCACACACCGCAGATCGATCTTTTGCTCTTTTCTAGATCTTGTATAGTAACTGTTTTTGGATTGAAATAATCAAGACATATAGAATCTGAGCTTGAAGGGTTGTAATCCTCCATAGCTTTGGTTCTTTATGATTCCCAATATCGTAAGCCCAAGAATATCAAGGAACACTATCAAAATCTTGCGCAAACCGTCCTCTTCTCAAATCGATCGATCTTTTCCCTCTTCTCATCCATTCTTCTGTCAACACAACCATCTCTCCTTTCCCATCCACAAGCCTCTCTTCCAATCTCCAATCTCCACCACTCAACAAACTCAGAGTTGAAAGGATTCTGTCCCTCTTCATCTTTCTTTTCCTTTCCATCTCCTTTCCATCTCCTTTACATCCGTTATCACTCTTTGTGTGGCCTCTTTACGATATTTGTGGTCAGATGTCTTAAATTTACGTATAGCTCTGCTGTTTTGTAGATTTGAGACTAACAAGCTTTGATTTTTTTAAAGCTTAATAATATATATATATATGTTGTGTCCGATTTAGATTTCCGTCCGATTTAGATTGAATCTAAATCGGACGTCCGATTTAGATTGAACTTATCGCGGACGTCCGATTTAGATTACAGTCTATATCGGACGTCCGATACAGATCGAACAATAATAAACGTGCTTAATATATGTTCTTAAGCGTTTTTTTGCAATTTTCTGCGCTTTTCAAAGAAATTTTCAAAGAACATATGTTAAGCACGTTTATTATTGTTCGATCTGTATCGGACGTCCGATATAGACTGTAATCAATAAAAGACCTTTGAAAAATGCAGAGAACTACAGAAAACGCTTAAGAACATATATTAAGCATGTTTATATTATTGTTCAATCCATATAAGATTTAGATTGAATCTAAATCGAACGTCCGATATAGACTGTAATCTAAATCGGACGTCCGCGATAAGTTCAATCTAAATCGGACACAACATATATATATATAGATTTTCTTA